AGGAGGGGCGGGAGGAAAGGAGGGGGAGGAGGGAGGAGGGAGGGAGGGAGGAGCACTCAGCAGCAGCCGAAGCTCCGTCTCTGGCGCCCTCTTGCTGTGGGCCACCTGGGCCCGAAAATAACAGCGCGCCGCGGGCTGTGCCGGGCGGGGCTGGGGCAGGGATAGATCCGTTCCCCTGAGCGTTCTGGGACGGTCCCAGAACTTTACTTTCCGGAACGCTCCGAGAAGGCCGCGGCGCCTGGGACGGCAGCCTCGAGAACCGCCGGATCCGAGGGATTTCCGATTCATCCACTGCCGACTTTCGCTTCGTCCTAGCGTCGTCTTGCCGTGTCGAGCTCGAGGAGCTGACCCGCGGTCTGCGCCGACGCGCGCGTGCCCCCTCTCGGGGCGCTGCTCCTGCGCGCCATCCTCGGGGGGGGGACGAGGAGGGGGGGGAGGACGGGGAGGACGAGGAGGGGGGGGAGGACGGGGGGGGGGGAGGACGGGGAGAGGGAAGGGAGGACGGGGCGGGACGGGCGCCGACACCGCTCCGCGGGCATGCGGGGAGCGCCTGCTGCGCAGGACGAGGCTCCTGCGCCAGCGCTGCAATCCTCGGGGCGCGCCGGCGGCGGCCAGGCCCGCTGGAGAGGAGGGAGCCGAGGCCGCTGTCTGCTCGGGCACGGCGCGGCGTGGATCGCGGAGGCCGTGCAGAGGCCGGCGCGGGGTGGCACGGGGCCCACCGCGCCTCCTGCTCTTGGGGGGTTTCTCCGAAGGGCTTAGGCGACCCGTCCTCCTCCTCCCCCTCCTCCTCCTTCCTCCTCCGCCTCCTCCTCCGCCTACTCCTCCTCCTCCTCCTCTCCTCCTCCTCCTCCTCCTCCCCCTCCTTCTCCTCCTCCTCCTTCCTTCTCCCCCTCCCTACGCTCGTCTCTCCTCCCTTCTCCCCCCCCCTCCTCCTCCTCCTCCTCCTCCTCCTCCTCCTCCTCCTCCTCCTCCTCCTCTCCTCCTCCTCCTCCTCCTCCTCCTCCATCTCCGTCTCCCCCTCTTCCCTCCTCCTCCTCCTCCTCCTCCTCCTCCTCCTCCTCCTCCTCCTCTTCCTCGGGTCGCCTACGGCCCCAGGGGAGACCGTGCACCTGCTCTGCCCTTGGCGTGCCCCCCCCGTGCTCCTTGTCTCGTTTCCCTCGTCCTCCTTCCCTTTTTCGATGACCCCCAGGACTTGTGTTGGCCCAATGTCTTCGGCGTCTGAGCGTCCCTTCTTCCTCTCGTCGGCCTCCCCCATCTCTCCTTGCACGCTGGCCAACTCGCTAGTTAGTGACCCTACCTAGCTGTTACGCTGGTGCGGATTTCGCCGCCTCGCTGCTTCCGAAAAAAGTGTTGGCCCAATGAGTGGTTACCCTGTTCAGCTCCACCAGTAGATCATTACATCGCCTGCGTCGCGTGGAACGGTCTCGATGTACAAACAAGCGTTGGCGCTAACACACGTTCTGAGGATAATCGACGTCTCCCTCGTCCTACATCCTTTCTTCCCTTCTCTGGGTCGCCGATGTGCCGCGTGCGTTCTTCCCTCGTGCTGCTTCCATCCTCGCTTGGCTCCTTCTCTCTCGCGCTCCTTCCTTCCTCATGCGTGTCGTTTGAGTGCTACGTACGCTCTTCCTCCGCCTCCTCCTCCTCCTCCTCCTCCTCCGTCCTCTGCTCTTTTCCCACTCGTCTTACTTCTCCTCGTCCTCCTCTTCCTCCTCCGATGCTGTTGCCTGCTCGAATCCGATATTGACGGGTGGCTCCAGCTCGGGCGCCTTGCGCAGATCGGTTGACATTGTCAACACGGACCAGACACGGTCTTCCCAATCTGTTGTTGCGATGCGCCCCCCTGCCCCCTTCGCCCCCTTCGCGCGTCACATCCTACTTAAATGTTTGCTCTGGTCCTGATTCCGAGAAACATCGTAATTCCCCTTTACGCCGCCGAAGCCAGCTCGCATTTTTTTGAAGACCGCATTGGATGAACCTGTCGCGATCCAAATTAGGGGTAATTCTTTTCCCAAGGCAAATCAAAGCAGTTCAGAGCAATGCGAAGTAAGGCTTGGCTTTGCTTGGCATTTCTTTGCGTAACTTTGTGTTGAGTTGCAGTGCTTGGCGTTGCTTGGCGAGAAACCCGATGCCCCCCCCCGGAAGAACCCCAGCAATCAACAAGACCAAGGAACCCGAGGAACCCCAGGAAACGCCTAGAGGAACTCAAGGAAGGAGCAAGACCGAGGAACTCGAGGAATCTCAGGGAAGGCCTCTGCCAATTGACCCCGGACCTTGTCACATACAAGCAAGAGCCCCTTAGGCAACGCACAAAGGGGGAAAACGGCGTCGCGTGACACGACGGCGATTGTTTACCCATTGTCGGTGGACGCTGCCCACAGACAGAACCGCCAGGGTTTCCGCCAGCTGCTCCAGGAGACGGCCGCCCCAGGGTCTCCGTCTCCGCGTAGGTGTTGCCGTATATCTGGAGCGGCGAGCACCGAGTTCCAGCTGCTCACGCAGAGGATTGGACCTCTCGGGAGGCGATGGGGGCCCCCGCAGGCGCGGCGCCTGCCGCTGTCGGCATGCTCCGGCCATGATGCGTTGCCCTGAGACGTCCAGCAGGTCGAGGTTGGTCATCCCGCCGCTCGAGCTCTACTCGGTGGAGGCAATCGAAATTGGCGCTATGGCCGACCTGCTCGAGCCGAACGTGTTTGGCGTCGATGGCGATGTCGCTCAGGTCAGCGCTCCCGTGCTGCGGCTGAATCCCATCACGCCGAAGCGCTTGTTTCCAGCCTGCTCTTCTCCTGTATCCAGAGGAGTTTCCCGAACCGTGTGTACTACACAGCGAGGGCGATCGTCTTCACGCATACCAAGAGCATCGTAACAACGTCGTCGACTTCAGAGCCGTCACTTTCCACTGCTTGCCTGTATGCGGTCTGCATCCACGTAGTTAGTTGTGCGTGTGGCTCACTGATGATATGCCCTCCAACCTCGCCTCTCCTCCTTCTCATCCTCCCTCCTTCCTCTTCTCCTCCGATGTTCTTCCCTCCGCAGGACTTGGGTGCAGGACGAGAGATGAGGGGTGAAGACGAAAGGGAGAGAGGAAATGAGGATGTGGATACGGAGGTAGGGGATGTGAAGGCGGAGGGGCGAGCAGGAGGAGGAGGAGGAGGAGGAGGAGGAGGAGGATTCGCGGAGGTGGAGAGGGAGAAGAAACAAGGGTGTATGCTCTGTGGTGGCGGAGATCCTGACCTTCAGAGCTGGACTGCCTAAAACCTGTAGACATAGCTAGACTGTCTAACACCTCGACAGGAATTTGGACGTCGAGGTCTTGGTGCCTTTTGTTGCCATCCTGGAAGGTCAGGACAGGAGAAGGATGAATCAGGCGGAGGTGGAGAAGGCACAGAGGGTAGGGAATATGCTGTGTGGGGGCGAGGCAGGGGGGGAGGCGGGGAAGCGGTGGGAAGACTTGGCAGAAGGGCGAGGGGTCGACGCCCGCCCGGCATCCGCCCAGAGCCGGTCTGCGGACCCCTCCCGGCCCCCGCTGGCCGTACGCCGCCCGAGGAGCCTCCAGAGAGTCGCCCGGCAGCCTCCCGAGAAGAGCCTCGGATTGGGCGTCGCGTATTCGAAGAAAAGAAAGACACATAACCATAAACTGTTGGCGCTCCGCGCGGATTTCTCGGATCCGCGCCTGGGCCCCCCCGGCGGCGCCTCCGGCGCCGCTCCTGGCGCGCTCCGCGCGCCAGGGAGGGGGGTCCAGCGCAGATTCAGGACATCTGCGCGGAGCGCCAAAAGTTGATGTTTATGTTTTTTCTTTTCTTCTAGCAATGGGGGGGCGATGCATGGGGAAGGGGCAGCGAGGGCTGCAGTAAAGGAGCCCCTCAGGGCCCCTGAAGGAGCCCTGGATAAGGCCCAAAAGAGAGCCCATGATGGGCCCGAAAAGCGCACCTTGCTCCCCCCCCCCCCCTCTTGTATCGCCCCCCCAAGGTAAGCGACGCCCAGTCGAAGCCGCCCGGCAACCTCCCAGGGCCGCGCGCGGCCGCCGCCCCGGGGCCCCCCCAGGGCCATCCAGCGCGTGTGCATGGACAACGGGCTGGGCCTCCAGGCGCGGAGTCTCGGCCGACCGGCTCCGGCCAGGGCTCGACCCAAGCGGTGTTTTAGTTACTGCCCACCAAACCGCCCCAACCCGACTGGAAGGCCTCGATTTGCCCTCCATGTCCAGTGGGGGGGGGTCGGGGAACATTGAAAAAACACATATGAAGCCCGTACCCCTCCCAACCCGAAATTCGTGTCTTCGGGTTGGGTTGGGGTGGTCTGGTAGGTAGTCATTTTGCGATCTCGTGGACCCTGTTCGTTTTGATTCCGTTCTGCAACAAGGGCAGAACAAAAGACAACACGAGGGGGGAACGAAAAGAAAAATCAACACGGAAAACGCCGTTTCGGCCGAGCCCTGGCGCCGGCTTCTCGGCCGCCTCGGGCACGTCTTCGCCGCGTCGGCAGTGTGCCGCACAGCGCCGGACTGCGGCGACCGGCTCGGGGCGATCGCATTGGGTATCGGGGTTGGACAGACCTCCTACCCTGACACGTCGATTAGCGAATTGACCGTTTTCGGTTCGCGAGAGGGCGTCGCGGCCGTCATTTGTCATTTCTGCGAGTCCAGGCCCGTCGGTTTCGGTCCCAGGCCGTTTTCACTAAGGGGAGGTTTACTAAAGGGAGGTTTGACTGCCGAGGGTACGGACAGAACGGGCACGAAGACTAACAGCAGCAGCAGCAGCAGCAGCAGCAGCAGCAGCAGCAGCAGTTCCTGCCCGTTTTGAACAGGACTCGCTGTCGGCGTCGCCGCGGACCCTGTCCACTTGAGGCAGAAGGCCCCCTCGCCCAACAGCGGCCGCTGTTGGTTTTGGACAGCACTTGCTGCTGGGCATTGTGCCCATTTGTTCCGCGCCCGTTGCGGGCGTCCAAGCCGGCGGCAGCGTGCGGCGACGGCGACGGCGGCGACGGCGGCCGGCAACGCCGTGCGCGCCTGCTCTCGACGACGACGGTTGCAGCGGCGGGATCTGTTCGATGTCTGTTCCTGGGAGCCTTGGGCGGCGACACTGAAATGAGCTGCTCCTGTACCTGGACCGCGTAGGGAACGCACTCGGCGTATCCTCCTGCTCCTCCCCTCCACTCCCGTTCCCTCTCCCCCTCCTAGTTCGAGTCCCCGCGAATCCAGCTCAGACCTGGTCCGAAGATCTGGGTGGCCGGCCGGCCGGCCCCTGTGCCTCGGCTGAGCGCGGGCCACGTGTGGGAGGTTCGCGGATCGAGGTCTGAGAGTTGGGGTTTCTTTTGGCCTCTGCCTGGGGCGTCAGGGGGGGCTCCTCGTCGCCGCGGCCCCCTTCGGAGTGCGGGGTTAAAACGCACCCAATGAGAGGTACGGGGGACGATTGTATTAAGGAGGAGGAGGAGGAGGAGGAGGAGGAGGAGGAGGAGGAGGAGGAGAAGGTCGAGGAAAAGACAATCTAGGAGCGTGTGCGCCATATCTGACATCCTACCCCTCCCATCTTTCACTTCCCACTGCGCTGACTGTTTCTCTAGCCCCCGATGGATGTCCTGGCGGATCTAGGTCCTGAGAATGAAGTATCGCATGATGCGCAAGCATAGATCGGGCTCGTTACATGGAAGGGTGAGGAGGTTGCGGATGCGCATGAGTCGCATGGGGATGAGCAGGAGGACGGGGACAAGGATGAGGAAGAGGTGGTGGAGCAGCATCATAAGCAGGAGCAGGAGGAGCGGGAGGAACAGAAAGACCAGGGGACGGCAGAGCAGGGGAAAAGAGGGGGCGAATGACGAGGGGGGGCGACAACCACACGCTATTCGCAGCACGCTCTCAGCGTGATGCACACATGGCTCAGCATAGCTTGCACCCGAAAGCGTGCCTCGTAGCTGACACATGCAATACAAGCTAGTTTTGAAACAGCAGCCCGTTCCTTGCGCGCGGCCCATGGCTTACTGACGCGTCTCTTGTAGCATACGCTTGTGTCCGCATTCGATTGATGTCCATGTATGCTTTACATGACTTAACCGCTGGGGAGGTATTTTTCACCCCATGAACTGTTTTGTGTAGGGCCACTCGATACCACTTCCTGGCAATGACTTGCTTTCCATGCCCGTTTCGCACAGTGTTCATTGTTTGCCCAGACGTGCCGTAACAGAGCAGACACAACCCAGATCTGAGACATTGGTCTCTCTTGTTGTTTTGTCCTCTCTCTCTCTCGCTCTTTCTCTCTCTCTCTCTCTCTTTCTCCCTCTCTTGGCACCAGTAGTATTCACACCTTTTGCAGACTTCTCAAACATATAGGTAATCCGAGTGCTGACAAGCCGCATGCCTTTTCTGTTGAGGGCTGGGCTAGAGTGGGCTGTTGTTCTTTCAGCCCGTCCACAAGCAGGGGAGTACTTCACCCCGTACTGAGCAGGGGCGTACGGTGTGCGACGCTACGGCGAGGCGGAGGTGGAGGCAAAGGTGGAGACGGAGGAACAAGACTAGATACAACACACAACAACCGACGGACGCGGGAAAATCGCAAGGGGTGCGGTACAGAAGGAACGGCTGAGGCGCGATTTGCAATGGTATACGTGATGTAGAGCGATATCTTCATATGTCATGAAGTTGTACCCAGGATCGCAGAAACTCATCCTGGGCAGTCCAGAAGTCTTTGGCCTTGGCGGAAGAGAAGGCCAACTTGTGTTTATGAAACGTGTCCATATCCATGGACTCTCGGTCTGGACTCATTCGCCGCGACCCCACGAATACCAGGGCAGTTTTGCACGGATGCCTCGCGCGGAGCGTATCCATTGGATCGCATATCCATGGGATTGCAGTTTGGTGTCCAGACCGCAAGGGCATGGACATGGACTTGGTCGTTTCTCGTTTTCAGCGCTGGAACCGCGACACATGCGACCCGCAGGTTTTCCTGGTTGCCTATAAGGAGCCCGCCTTGCAGGAGCTCGCCGACGTGTTCGAGTACTTCAACTCTGGCATGCTCTGGCATCGTATTCCGACAAGTTGCAGCGATGGCCCCCCGAGCCATCCAGGCGAGGCCTTGCGCGGCTCTTCAGCGTCTTGTTTCGCAATGCTACGGCCAGCAGCGACGGTGACGACGCTTGACGTATTCCCACCAGCCCATTCCAGAAAAAATCCCCAGTCAATTTGCATTGATTTGAGACATGCCGATTTGAGGCATCAATGTGCGCAGACCCAGAAGTCAACCGTAAAATCGCAGATCTTTCGATTTGGGAGCATGTTGGAGGCTTCCTTGGGCCACCTCGGGAAGCTGTCGGGGCCTGTTCGATACTTTAGGGCTCTTGGGGCCTTCATGGCGGCCTTGACAGCATTCTTGCTAACCTTTCGGGCACCCTTTGGAGCCACAGCAGGGCCATTTCAGGGGCATGGCAGTGTCGCTGCAGAGCCGCGGGCCGCTGGAACGGCTCGCGGGTGGGAGTGTGACGAGGGGCTCGCTGCCGGCGCGGCGGCCCTCTGCGCAGATGGCCGCGAGACGGGCTGCGGAAGCGGTGCGTTATCGCAGCCGTGCCGGCGGCAGCGCTTGTTTTCTAGAAGAGTCGTGGAGGCTGGCGAAGAGGTGGAACGGATGGAGGGACCTTCCAATGATGCCATGGATAGGGGATTCCCCCAACAGTGTTTGCACTTGGGGGTTCCCACTTGCGCTTCCAAGGAGTAGGATGGGTGTCCCGAGGACTCGTCACGTTCCAGCCTCTTGCCGCCCCATGGCCGCCCGTTGCCGCTTGTCGCGATTTCCCTGGGACTCGCCGCGTTCTGGCCCGTTGCCGCCCCGCAGCCGCCTGGTTCCGCCTGTGGGGGTGGCCCAGGAAGTCGCCACGTTCCGGCCCGTTGCCGGCATTTGCCGCCTGTGGGGGGTGTCGCAGGGGTGCAGACGTGCTCTTCGGGAAACGAACGCAGAGATGCTTGTGCAGTACATCGTTTGCACATCCACAGTGCCTAACTTCCTGTTTGGGGTCCACGCTGGCAAACATCTCGTGAGAAGCCGCGTCTTCCGCTCACATCTGCTAGACGGCCCGCTCGCCTTCACACCATGAAGAAGCCTCGTCAGAAGTCGGGACACGCGGCTGGAGACGGGAAGGATGGGAGGGGCCCCTCAGAAATTACGGAAATCTAGCTCGACCTCGTGGCATAGAAGAGGCAATACTTGTGTGGTAGTTGTGGCCTTCGATTGGTAGTAACATCGTGCAGGCAACTAGGCAGCCCGTGCCGATGATACATGTGTTCGCATTCGGGCGGGGCCGCCGTCACGGTGTGCTCAAGTCGGACGGCCGGCGTACATGCTACGAGCAAGGAGTTGGAGACGATGTGGTGTCATAGTTGGCACTTGTCTTTGAGAACAGTGTGCGACGACACGTGATGGATTACCTAGCTTGTTTGGGGACACATTCGTGGAATTGTTTGTTTTTGGCCTTGCTTGATGGTTGCAGACAGTGGGGGCTAAGAGCCTCTCGGCAATTCCTCGAGAAGCTTGAGCCTTTGGGGAGGCTCAGGTTCATCCTGCGAGATTACTCGTAAAGTCAAGCTGCCTGCAGCAGACATCGCCACAGTGCCTGTGCTTCTTCGACATGCGTACGGGATGGTTATACCGAGATGTTTAATCTTGTTTGATAAAACCACGTCTGGGGTGGCTACGAAGCAGCTGCGCGATGTTGCAGCGTGGCGCAGCCATGTGCGCTGCGTTGCTCTCAGGGGTCGTCTCAGAGGCTTCTTTGGGGTACATTCGGGATCTTGAGGCCGTCTTGGACGCGATGGTTCTGCCGAGTTCTTCCCAAGATGCTCGGCTGAGGCATCGTGGGAACATCTGGGCTGGTTCTGGTACCGCCGTGGTCCCCTCTTGGTGACGCCTTGGCCTGGTCTTGGGACGCTACCGGGTTCCTCCGACGTGTTGTGCCGTTTCAGGGTTTTTTGGGTGCGACTTGAATATGACAGACTTCGGAAGCAAACGCATTCTCACACAGGCACATGTTTCTCCGTCGGCGATGCGACGTCGCTATCTCGAGAGCATGAAAGGGGTGCCTTCTGGTTAAGTGCACCCAGCATTGTATATATGAGACGGCAGAAAAAGGACAGGTGAGACCCCGACCAGCCAGCGTGCAATGCGGACCGCACAGAGCCCGCGGAATGGAACCCCCCATCCCGGGTGTGGAAGAGGCGCGCGGTGCGCCGCGGGGAGGCACTAGGCGCGTCCGGGAGAGCCGTACGCAGAGCAGTGGTGTTGTTTGTTAGCCGAGGGGCTTCGCACACGCGCGCACTCCCTGGCAGCAGCAGCAGCTCACGAGACCGAAAGTGATCTATAGCTATGCCACTGCAACACAAGACGGTGCCTAAAAAGGAAGATCAGCCTCCCATCCAAGGACCCCAGGAGGATGGGAGCAGGAGGCAGAGGAGAAAACCCCGCCTCGAAGCCTTCTTCTGGGTGCTGCCCAGGGCGCGCGGGTGGCGTGTGAGGAGAGAGGGAGTAGGTGGGGCGCCACGGTGTGTGCGCGGGCCAGCGACCGTGTGCGGGGTCACCGCCAGCGGCGCACGACGCGTGTGAGGCGTGGAGCGGGCTGCAGCAGGGTGGCAAGACTGGCAACCCAGGCCACCACCGCGGTGAACAACTGTGTGCCAATCGGGTCGGACGAAAAGGGGGGATGTAGAAAAAGGAGGGGGGAACGAAATCTGCTGCATGCAGCTGGTTTCGATCCCGCCGAGGAGCCCATTCCTCGATACATGGCCGCCCCCAGCGCCGTGAGGCGCCGGGAAAATCAGCTACGTGAGCCGATTCGCCAATCCCCCCTTTGCTATCCCCCCCCCGTTCTTCTGGCGCGAGCCAAGCGTGTAAGACAAAGGCAGGGCGTGAGGCGAATTATTGCCAGAGCGAGTGCGCGAAGGCCCGCCGACGCGTGCGCAAGAGCACGGCGCCAGCGCCGCAACGACGGCGCCCGAGGCCTCCCCAGGTCTGCCGGGCGCGCCAACCCCGTGGGGAGGCTAGGCTTGCGCCCAGGCCTGGGAGCTGAGCCGCCCAGAGAGAGGGAGAGGGAGAGAGGGAGAGAGCGAGAGAGAGAGACAGAGAACAAAAACTCCGCCGAAAAACGATACATACCTCGCAGGTGCGGATAAGAGTGATGGGGCGGTGGGGACGTGGGCAGACTCTGGAGAAGCCCCCCGCAGGTGCCAAAGTTTCACAAATTATACCACGAGCCCGCCGCAGGCGCCGATTTTTTCGTCAAACAAATGTGGGCCGGTCGCGGGTGGGTTGCGGGTGGGTCGCGGGTGGGTCGCGGGGTGGGTCGCGGGGTGGGTCGCGGGTTTGGTCGCGGGTGGGTCGCGGGTGGGTCGCGGGGTGGGTCGTTGTTGGCGGGTGGGTCACGGGGTGGTTCGCGGGTGGGTCGCAGGTGGTCGTTGTTGGGTCGGGGTGGGTCGCGGGTGGGTCGCGGGGTGGGTCGCGGGTGGGTCGCGGGTGGGTCGCGGGTGGGTCGCGGGGTGGGTCGCGGGGTGGGTCGCGGGTGTGTCGCGGGTTTGGTCGCGGGTGGGTCGCGGGGTGGGTCGCGGGGTGTGTCGAGGGGTGGGTCGCGGGTGGGACGACGACAGCAGACAAACAACGCAACAAGCAGAACATTCACCACGGATCCCGACTTCGACAATGAATGACCGTTCGGGCCCCTCACTCTGATGTGTATACATGCATCTCTATATATATATATATATATCATATGTATATACACAACATATATAAGTGTATATATATATATATATATATCTCAGAGTGAGGGGGCCGAACGGTCATTCACTGTCCCTGGGTGCGTGGCTGAAATGGGATTCCGTGGTGCGGATTCGTGTTGTTGTTGTTGTTGTTGTTGCTGTTGTTGTTGTTGTTGTTGTTGTTGTTTGTTGTTGTTGTTGTTGTTGTTGTTGATGTCGATGTTGTTGTTGTTGTTGTTGTTGTTGTTGTTGTTGTTGTTGTTGTTGTTGTTGTTGTTGTTGTTGTTGGTGGTGGTGGTGGTGTTGTTGTTGTTGTTGAACTCTCATTCTTGAAGAATAATTATTGTTGATCCCCCCCACCGGTGCACATTGATTTTTATCGATTGAAGTGCCACCCCCGGGGCTCGCACCTTGTTTTTCTAAAGGAAAGTCTTCCTGCTCAAACTGTGCCCCTGCCCCCCGGGCTACAACAACAACGGCTCCCGCCTGAGACTTCTTCGATTTTTGCTCAGGACCCCCGCTCCCGCCTGAGACTTCCGCGCAATTTACTCAGGAAAGGCGCTCCCGTCTGAGACTTCCTCGCAATGTAATCAAGACCCCCGCTCCCGCCTGAGACTTCCGTGCAATTTACGTGGGAACGGCGCTCCCGCCTGAGACTTCTTCGAATTTTACTCAGGACCCCCGCTCCTGCCTGACATTTCCGCGCAATTGACTCAGGAACGGCGCTCCCGCCTGAGACTTCCTCGCAATTTAGTGAGGACCCCCGCTCCCGCCTGAGACTTCCGTGCAATTTGCTCAGGAACGGCGCTCCCGCTTGAGACTTCCTCGCACCTTAGTCAGGGCCCCCGCTCCCGCCCGAGATTTCCTCACAATGTACTCAGGACTGCGCTCTCGCGTGCGACGTCCTCACAAATTATTCTGGAATTGCGTTTCGGCGCTCAGGAACCACGTACGCGCCAAGGACGCCTTCACAACGTGGTATCTTCCCTCTTCCTTCGTCCTTCCCCCTCCCCTTCCTCCCACTCTCCCTCGTTCTTCCCCTCCTCCTCTTGCAGGGCCCGCGCCAATTCCAATGGCGGGCAGAGAGATGTACGCCCCCGAAGGATTGTCCGCCCGTTCCGGTTTGCCCGTACGTCTAAGCCCGCCGGCCCCAGCAAAGAGAAATAATCCCCCCGAAAGGGGTGTGATCGAAGACGAAGAGGGCGGGTATCGAGGGTGTAGGGTATACGTGTTGAATGACTCGCGGGCAAGTAAGAGCGTACAGCCTTAAAATGGTTGTTGTTGTTGTTGTTGAACATTATTACTTCTAAAGAATAATTATTGTTGGGACCCCTGGTGCACGACCCCCCTCCGCCGCCTAGGCCGCAGCTACATTTTCATCATTTTTTCGCGAAAGCTTCAGAAAAGTGGATTGGTACCGGATCCGGTTGTTTTGTTGTAATCCGTTTTCCCTTGCAAAAAACACTATAAAATGAAAATTCTTGTTCTTACTTGATCAAATTGCAAGAATCCCTTGCAAAAAATAAGGTAAAGTGGACATTCGTGCGCGCAAGACGAAATCCTTCCAAAACCTTAGGTTTCGTAACGATTTTAACATAAAAACATCAAAAACCCAATGGTTTTTTAAGAAAAAAATGTCAAAATGTCCTTCCGCGCGCGCTGTCCGAATCCTACAAAACCAATGGTTTTTCAACATTTATGTTACATGAGCTCGCGCGAGCTACTTTTTCTTGTTCTAACATAATCAAATTTCAATAATCCCTTGCAAAAAATAAGGTAAAGTGGACATTCGCGCGCGCAAGACGAAATCCTTCCAGAACCTTAGGTTTCGTAACGATTTCAACATAAAAACATCAAAAAGCCAATGGTTTTTCAAAAAAAAATGTCCAAATTTCATCCCGCGCGCGCTGTCCGACTCCCACAAAACCAATGGTTTTTCAACATTTATGTTACATAAGCTCGCGCGAGCTACTTTTTCTTGTTCTTACATCATCAAATTTCAACATCCCTTGCAAAAAAAAGTAAAGTGGACATTCGCGCGCGCAAGACCAACAAAAAACACGACGATCTCAGGAACTTGCCCCAAAAATGTGACCAACTCCGCTCTCTCTGTCTCTCTCTCTGTCTGCTCTCTGTCTCTCTCTCTGTCTGTCTGTGTCATGTATTGTATGTCACAATTGCAGGATGCTGGGCACACGCGCGCCCCGAATAAGTGACCAAGTTCTGTGGGTGTGTACCCCACGCCAGTGTAGTAGCCACGGTCGTCCGCACGCCACGAAGTGAAGTGTCCCAACGTCATAGGGCGGGAAGCTGGGTTTGGGTGGTCGCGAAGAGTCGTTTGGATATTTGGTAGAGCTTGAACTGCCCCCCCACGAAGTGGGGGTATTGTCTCGCGTCGCATGAAAACCCTGGCACTGGTGAGAACACTGAGCGTTCGGGTAAAATGATTGTTGTTGTTGTTGTTGTTGTTGTTGTTGTGTTGTTGTTGTTGTTGTTGTTGTTGTAATTATTGTTGGGCCCCCTGGTGCGCGCCCCCCCTGCGCCGCCTAGGCCGCAGCTACATTTTCATCATTTTCGTGAGGAAGCCTCAGAAAAGAGGGTGTGTACAGGATCCGGTTGTTTTGTTGTAATCCGCTTTCCCTTGCAAAAAACAATAGAAAATTACATTTCTTGTTCTAATATAATCAAATTTCAAGAATCCCTTGCAAAAAATAAGGTAAAGTGGACATTCGCGCGCGCAAGACGAAATCCTTCCAAAACCTTAGTGTTCGCAGCGATTTTAACATAAAAACATCAAAAAACAATGGTTTTTCAACAAAAAATTGTCAAAATCTCATCCCGCGCGCTCTTGCGGATTCGTAGGAAACCCAACACTTTTTAAACATTTCTGTCAAACGGGCTTTTGCGAGCAACTTTTTCGAACTTCTGCGACAACGGTTGCGCACCTGCCAGGGCCATCATCCCTGTCAAATAATACCATGCGGGACACATTCGTTTTTTCTTCGCGCGCGCACGCCGTCGTCGTCGGCCGCGGGGCCCTGAATAGTAGCCACGGTCGTCCGCATGCCACGAAGTGAAGTGTCCGAACGTCATAGGGCGGGAAGCTGGGTGTGGGTGGTGGCGAAGAGTCGTTTGGAAATTTGGTAGAGCTTGAACCGGCCCCCCCACAAAGTGGGGGTATTGCCCGCCTCCTATGAAAACCCTGGCACTGGTGAGAACGGAGTGTCCCCACGTGCTAGTAATTGTTGTTGTTGTTGTTGTTGTTTGTTGTCGTCGTCCCACCCGCACCCCCCCCGCGACCCACCCGCGACCCACCCCTCGACCCACCCCGCGACCCACCCGCGACCCACCCGCGACCCACCCGCGACCCACCCCGCGACCCACCCCGCGACCCACCCCACGACCCACCCCGCGACCCACCCCGCGACCCACCCCGCCACCCACCCCGCCACCCTTCCCACGACCCACCCGCGACCCACCCGCGACACACCCGCGACCCACCCGCGACCCACCCCGCGACCCACCCGCGACCCACCTTCGACCCAAACCACGTTCAAGGTACAAACCACCAATTTCGGCGCCTGCGGCGGGCTTTTTTTGCATTCCTTCCAGGTGGAGAGCCCGCGACCCACCCCGCGACCAACTCGCGACCAACCCGCGACCCAAACCACGTTCAGGGTACAAACCACATTTTTCGGCGCCTGCGGCGGGCATCTTTTGCATTCGTTTCAGGTGGAGAGCCCGCGGCCCACCCGCGACCACGTTCAGGGTACAAACCAATTTTTCGGCGCCTGCGGCGGGCATCTTTTGCATTCGTTCCCGGTGGAGAACCCGCGGCCCACCCGCGACCCAAACCACGTTCAGTGTACAAACCAAATTTTTCGGCGCCTGCGGCGGGCTGCTTTTGCATTCCTTCCAGGTGGAGGTGGAGAACCCGCGACCCACCCGCGACCCAAACCACGTTCACTGAACAAACCAATGCCGCACAAGCGCGGCGGCGGATTTTTGCATGCCGTCTGAGCCCGCAACGACCTCTTCAAGCCCCGCGCATCCACACCAGCCCGTCCAGCAACTTTGCCCTGGCGAGTTGCCTTGATCAGAGAAGTCGGGGAGCATAAAGTGGAAAAAAGGATTGCGTTGCCGTTATCTTGGGAAAGGAGGGGGAGGCAGGAGGAGTAAACAGGGGACGAGGAGGACGCGGAAGAAGAGAGGATGTAAGGAGAATGTGGAGAAAGAGGAGGAGGAGGAGGAGGAGGACGAGGAGGAGGAGGAGGGGAGGAGGAGGAGAGGAGGGGGAGGAGGAGGGATGATGATGATGATGATGATGATGATGATGATGATGATGATGATGATGATGATGATGATGATGATGGACGACAATGGGAGGACGATGATGGAGGCCGATGAGGGGGTGGACGACAATGGGAGGACGATGATGGAAGGACGAGGGGGGAGAGGGAGGACGAGGAAAAGAGGAGGAGGAGGAGGAGGACGAGGTGGAGGAGGAGGATGACGATGACGATGAGGACGACGAGGACGAGGACGAGGAAGAGGAGGAGGAGGGAGGAGGAGGAGGGAGGAGGAGGAGGAGGAGGAGGAGGAGGAGGAGGAGGAGGAGAGCGCCATCGACAGGGAAGGTGGGGGCCACGAGGTCCGCCGGCTCGACGACGCCCGCGTCGCCCGCGCCCGCCCCCTCACTCTTATCCGCAATTGCGGGATGCTACGTATATATACATATATATACACAGACACCCTCCACTGGATTGTTCCTGGGCCTCAGGGGAGGATGGCGGTGTGTAAATCACCACTGAGAGCCAGCGACCTTCTACACCGTCACCCGCCCTGAAGGTACATCCAGCAAAAGTCGTCGGAGGCGGCTTGTGCCTGTGTATGTGATTTCGTGGCGTAAGAGAGGCGATGTCGAGAGGTGGCTGGCACGGGCGGCGGCCTTCCCCCCCATCTTCGTTTCTGGGCAGGTGGGTCCCCTCCCCCCGCCAAGGTTGGGGAGGGGGGTTCTGTCCCCTCGGTTTCCGGGCAGGGAATGCGCCTCCCCATCCCTGGGTGCTTGGGGAAGGGGGGGGGGAAGTTGTACCCCCCCCGTGTGTTCCCGGAGGGGGGGGGGGGAAGGGCATTTGTTCAGTCTGGCGACGGTAGATCGCGCTCCCTCCATCGTGTGTGAACATTTTTTTTCGGTCAGCCTCGCTTGTAGTAGCTTGGCAGGGAGTGTCACGCCTCACTCGTCGACGAACCCGAACCCTTTTTCCGCACGGTCGGGCTTCGTCTTTGTTGACATGGTCGCCGCGCTTCTTCATGCCTGGCATTGTCTGGCCCTGGCAGCATGATGCCTCCGTTGCTCGTCCTGCCGGGCAGGCAGCAAGAATGCGAGCAAGGAGAGCGTCCGGAATGTGAGCAAGGAGATCTTTCAGAGGTGGGAGCAGAAGGTGATAAAGGCACGGCCCTTGGCGCGGTCCGCCCTCTCCCTCTTTCCCCCATAGGCGCCCCGTGATCCTCCCCCCATGACCACGTTTCGCTTTTGGCATTGCCGCGCGCTCGGCCCCTCCGTGTGAACCCACCGCCATCGCATTCTCGCAAACCACTCCAATGTTTAGCGTGGTAGCCATGATCATGTCGGGTACCTCTATCGTTCGTCAGTTGCCGTTCTACCTCGAAGCAAAGTGCGTCTGTCAGGCATTCAGCATCACGCCAATTCATAAAGCAGTGCACCCAGTAGGTATGAGTTATGCCGCACGCTTGTTTCAATGCAAGGCGCTGCGCCGCACTCTTCTTGCAACACGCGATCCACGATACGATCTCTGGTGGTGAGGCTTCATTCTGATAAGGTGGTTTACCCTGGGTAGGGCTGCTGCCCCACCGACATTGGTGAGAGTAGCATGCGAAATGAAGCTGTTGAAACAATAGCGGTTTCCTTCGTTGTCCGACTTTCGGTTGGCGAGGAGGTTGGTTGTTTCCCGTTTCCGATAAGCCAGCCTTCCCCCTCACTCTCTTCCTCCGCCTCCTCCTCCACTTCTTGGGGCATGCGACATCGGGTAGGGGGGGTGGGTGGGTGATGGGAATGGAGTTGGGGAGGGAGGAGGGGAAAGGCTGGACAGGGGGAAAGGTGAGGGGAAGAGTGTTTGCGTTTGGAGAGGGGCGGGATGAGAGGAAGGCAGGGGGAGTAAAGGAGGAAGTAAAGCGAGGTGGGAGGAGAGGGGAGGTGGGAGAAGGAGGGGACGAAAAGGTGAGGGCGGCGGGGGGCACCTGGGCGGCAAGGCGTGAAAAGTACGGGCTTCGCGCCCCTTGGGCTGCGGCAGCCTGTCCCTGATGAGGAGCCCTATAGTCACCGTCCGCATCTTGCATCTCCCCCTTTGCTACTGCTTAATGCTCAGAGTTCATAGGGTCATGTCCCACGGCCCACTCGATACGTATTTTCCTGACTCGTCACACATTGTGTGAGTGTGCTTGGGTGCGTGATTGTGCGTATGTGTGTGACCGGGCCCATCTCGGGTCTGCTCGGGTCTGATGCCGGCCGACCCCCGCTTTGCGTGGCTATATCTGCCTCGGCGCCCTGGCCGACTCCCCGAGCCAAGACGCGACGGTGCCCCCGTTTGGGGCTCCGGCAGCATGCCTCGCCGCCCCGCCCCCAGGCGCGGCCCGTTTGGCGGTGCTCGTCGCTGCCTCGGCCGCTGCCCAGCCGCCCGCTGGCCCCGCGGGCGCCTGCTGCCTCCCCGCCGCGCTGCGCCGCCCCGCCACTGCCCCATGAGGGGCCAGCGCCTTTCTCACCTTTGCCTTGCTTAGCCTGGAGGTAGCCCGCCGGGCGTTATTGACGGACGGCCGCGCGGCTTCTTCGCCCCGTCCGCGACGCTCAAGAAGTGTGCGTGTGCGTGTGCGTGTGCGTGTGCGTGTGCGTGTGCGTGTGCGCGTGCGCGTGCGCGTGCGCGTGCGCGCGCGCGCGCGTGTGTGTGTGTGTGTGTGTGTGTGTGTGCGTTTGTGCGTGTGGGTGTGTGTGTGTGTGTGCGTGTGCGTGTGCGCGTGCGTGTGCGTGTGTGCGTGTGTGCGTGTGCGTGTGCGTGTGCGTGTGCGTGTGGGTGTGGGTGTGTGTGCGTGTGTGTGTGTGTGTGTGTGTGTGCGTGTGTGCGTGCGTGTGTTTGTGTCCGCCTTGTCGCCGCGCGCAGCCCAGGACTGCGACGCCAAAAGGTGTGTGTGTGTGTGGGTGCGTGTCTGTGTGTGTATGTGTGTGTGTGTGTGTGTGTGCGCGCCTGTGTGAGTGCGTGTGTGTGTGTGTGTGTATGTTTGTGCACGTGTGTGGCGGGGCGCCCACCCCGTGATACTGTTTCAACGGCCCGCAGGCGCTGACCCTGGAACCAGGGCGGGCCCGCTCAGGATCGGGCGGGCTGTGTGCGGCCGGCGCGCCCCCCCAACGCGCACGGAGGCCTTCTGCAACCGAGAGGACAGGTCGACGGACGACGACTCGAGGGAGGCCCTCGGCGTCTGCGCCTCGGCCCGCGCCTGGCGGCCGCGGGGGGTGGGCACGCGGTCGCCCGGGGAGCGCCGTGCGTCGCGCGGGCGCCGGGTTGTTCTCGTGCTCGTCGTCGTTGCCGGTCCTCGTCTTGCCTGCTCCTTCCGCTGCTCCCTCCCTGCCCCTCCGTCGCCGCTGCTCCGCCATGCTCGCTCCCTCCTCCCCTCCCCTGTTTTCCTCCCTCCTTGCCTGCTCCCCCTTTCCTCTGTCCTCCTCCCTGCGCCCCTCGTTCCTCCGGCTCTCCCTTTCAAGTGCTCCATGACCCCATGGAGGGGGCAAGCTCCTGCACCAGAGCCCCCTTTTCCTCGGGGGCCGGGAGGGAGAACAGATGAAGCGGCCCTGGTCAGCCACGTTTGCCACCACCGCTTTCCGAGCTCTCCTCCTCCTCCTCCTCCTCCTCTTCCTCCTCCTCCTCCTCCTCCTCCTCCTCTTCCTCCTCCTCCTCCTCCTCCTCCTCCTCCTCCCTCCTCCTCCTCCTCCTCCTCCTCCTCCTCCTCCTCCTCCTCCTCCTCCTCCTCCTCCTCCTCCTCCTCCTCCTAGGTGGCTTCCCAGCGTGGCCCCGCCCCGCCCCCGCGCAGCCATTTTGCCCGCAGGCGGCGCCGCGGGGCCCGTGCCATCGGGAGCCCTCAGGCCCACGGAGGGCCGCCGAGGCCTGAAGAGGCCTCCCTCGCCCGCCTGGCACAGGCGCCTCAGACGGGCGCGAGGCCAGGCCCGCAAGTGGTTACGAGCGGAACAACATCGACAGCTGCTCGACCACCACCACGGCAGCATGAAGCCAGGTGGCGCAGTACGGATGACCTGCAAGAGGTGCCAGTGCCAGTCCTGGTGGTGGCACACCACGTTCGAGCGCAACGACTACTGGTGCAGCTGCGGTTGCCGCGTGGCCAGGCCCAAGACGGGCAAGCCGCAGCAGCGGCAGCAGCAGCAGCAGCAGCAGCAGCAGCAGCAGCAGTCCAACTGGTTGCAGCAGCAGTCCATCGGCGAGCGCAGTGCGAGACCCCGTGGCGGAGGCGGCACCAGCAGCGTCGACGCCAAGGCTGGCGGCGTCGCCCCGTTGGCATCAGCTCTGGAGACGGTCGCGGAGTCCATAGGCACGCTGAAGCTCGCCAGCGGGGGCGCCATCGCGAAGCAGCTCGCGGGCGTCGCGGATACGCTCCAGGAGGCGCCAAAACCGCAGACCAAGTCGCGCGCTGCGCGCTTGGCTGAGGCGGCGAAGGAGCTCGAGCACGCCAACAAGACGTACAAGTGGGCGTTCGAGCAGGCGGAGATCGCTCCGCAGACGGCCGAGAAGGCCAAGGCCGCCCTGAAGGAGAGAGCGGGCGCGGTCGTGAAGGCCGAGCGCGAGATCGAGGATATCCAGCAGGAGGGCAAGCCGAACACCAGCCAGCGCAGCATCTCCGAGCAGCTGCCCGACACGGACGTGGACCTGCTCTCGCCGAGAGACGCGCAAATCGCCGAGGTGGAGCAGGAGTTCGCGCACCCGGACGATCTGGGCGAGCAGGGTCGCAAGGCGGTGGGCGACACCAAGCGCCGCCAGGTGCTGGTGCAGCTGCAGAGGAACGCCGGAAAGTTCGCGGGCCAGCTGAAGCAGCACCTCCAGGCGGCGAAGCTGAAGGCGGAGCATGAGAGGGCCGAGATCCAACAGGCCTGCAAGAAGAGGATGTCGGATTCCTCGGCAGCGGCGGCAGCGGCACCAGCAGCGCCACCACCAGCAGCAGCCGCGGCCACAGCTCCAGCAGCAGCCGACGACGACGAGCACGCGGAGACGAATGAGAATGACGCCGCGGAGGGCTACCTCCAACAACGGCGAACCGCGGCGGCCTCCTCAGATGCCCCCGCGACCCGCTGAAGGTCACGGCGCGGTGGGAGGAGGCAGGTTGGCGACGACTCCCACCTCGAGCGCCGCATCTTCAGCGCCAACATCGCTCGGTGGGGCCCGACGGTGATGAGCTGGCTTCGCCGCGATGGAGCGCGGCAGCCGCGCGACGTCCACGCGTTGCAGGAGACCCACCTGGCCCGCCGCAAGCTCGACGGCGCGGAGCACAAGCTGCAGAAGGCGGGCTTCTCAGCAGCGCTCACAGCAGCGCGGGCGAGCGACAGAAGCGAGACAGGCACTTGCGGAGGCACGGGCGTCTTCGTCAAGGGCCACCTCGAGGCGACGTCGCACCGATGCCAGGGACCACGCGGCGCAGTTTCGGGCGCAACCGCATCAGACGCCCACGGCTCGCAGCACGACGCCTTCAACATGTGCGACTGGGCGCCAGTCACTCTGCGCAGGCGCGGTTCCCAGCTCCTCGTCATCTCCATCTACCTGGGCCCGTCCCACTCCGCCGCCAGTGGCGAGAACTCCGGGAAGTTAACGTCGCTGGCCGCGCTCCCCAGCACAATGCGCGCACCTTGGACGCTCTGCGGCGACTTCAACAGGCCGCGCGAAGACATGGTGCAAGCAGGATGGACAACCGCCCTCGGTGCTGCAGCATACGTCGGGCTCGACAACGATCAGCGCACCTGCTTCCTTGGCGACGCCCCGCCCTCCAACGTCGACTTGCGCGTTGGTCGGCGACGGCGGGCAACGTCTCGTGCGAGGAATCCGACCGGTGCGCGACGTACCTTGGAAGCCGCACATCGGGCTCGACATCGCCGTCAGAGCAGACGCGGGCTCCAACCTCAGCCGGCGACCCCAGCTACCGAAGGCCTTCCCACGCCCAACACAGCCCAAGAAGACTAAGACGACGAACAGACGAAGAGTCAGAGGAGCACAACGACTACGCCCACGACTACGACGCCGTTCGATCAAGATGCCGAGGACTCAGCACGATGGGAAGCGCTTGGGCCGCGCGGATGGCAACGCCACCCAACCGCAGCAACCGCGACCACTCCCGCCACAGCGCCACCACCACGACACAGCACGATGGACGAAGATGGTGGCGACCCTTCCGACTTCGCGGACGACGACCTCAGCGCGTTCGCCCTGCGCCACGACGCCCAACGACCCCACCGCCATTTTGACGACGCCCAAGACATGGACCACCTCCACGGCGCCACCGAGGCTGACAGGGCCGAGGTCAGCAGCATGGCGAGCACCACCGTTGAGCCGAATTCGGAGCTGAACGATGACATGGACTGCGCAGGCGCTCAAAGGGCGCCACAGCAGATACCATTACTCGATCGATTTGATGCACGAGCACTCGAGACCGACACCAACAACATGGACGATGCGTGGGAGGTAGCAAACATGATGCACCGCGGCCCCACCAGCACAGGCCCGCACTACATCCAGAACTGCGCCGCCTACCAGGTCGACCCCGACAGCGCCGACCAGCTAGGCGCGACATACCAGCGCCTCATCAGCACGCTCGAGACGTTCTACTGCATCGCGTACCACATCCCACTGGAAGACCGCCACCACTTCCTCGGGCGCGGACAGGCATGCGAATTCAAGACGCAACAGACACGAAAGCCCGACAACCAACAACGATGCGCATCCCACAGGTCCGACCGGTGGAGCCGCGCGGAGAACACCCTCAGCACATTGGTCAAGCTACGACGACGAGCACGCGGACAGCAACAACAACGCAGTCTACGCGCCGCAGGACGACGTTTGGTACGTGAATGACTGCTACCACGCGGACGCCACGCATCGGACTCGGCACGATTGCACCACCAACTCTGGAAACAACGATTCACCAACTTCGAAGACACTCCAACTGACACGCTCCAGGGCATGGCACAACAAGCGCAGAAGATAATATCATCGCCCTCCGACTTGACCCACGCATCCGCCAGCGCGACTCCAGTGCGCGGCTCGCGACAGCACCCCGCCGGGGACAAGAAGTCGCAATTCAAGGCGAAGTGCTAAGCAGCCCGCTCGAAATCGTCGGCGCCAAGGCCACGGAGTTCGCCAGGACCTGGACATGCAGCGACATCCCACGCCTCCAGCACCCAGCAGTACTTGCGGCGCTCCGTGAACGAGCACGACGCGAATACCCCGCTCCACCGTGGACCGTGGAGGACCTCGACCGCTGCCTCAAAGGCGAGCCCGGCAAGGACAATGGCGTCGACGCCATCAGGTGCAGCGACATCCGACGCCTACCACGACCAGGGCGCCAAGCAGTCATCGACCTCTTCAACCTGCGCGAGCACCGACTGACGTGGCCATGGCAACTGCTGCTATCCATCGCCATGATCATCCCAAAGCCGAAGAAATGAGACCGCGCGCTGGCGCTACTTCCACAACTCTTCCGATGCTGGGAGCTCCGACACAGAGACCGAGTCCGCCAATGGGCGGCAGACCAAGAGCGCGAATGGGATGCCGCAATCGCGGGCAACAGCTGCCTGCGCGAGGCGCTACGACGACTCATCGCAGACGAGCGCGCCGACGCCCAAGCCGCGCTCCACATGCAGTTCCCAGCGCGGCCACTCTACCTCATGATGCTACACAATTCCGCAGCACGAGCACTGCGACGACAACGGTCGTACCCTATCCCGCTGTACGCAGACCGCTCCATCTTGGCAGGCTCACGACATGCCAACAATGCAGCGCGCGCTGTAGTATACGCGGCGATGGCCAAGCTCACCGATACCAGCACACGGCCACGACCTCTACCACGCGCTTGGTCCAACGACATCAGCATCCGCATCGTAGGCAGCAGGTCCCAGATCACCACTGCCACCGTGACCACCACCCACGGCCTCTTCCTGGTACTACAGGAACACGGGCTCCGACTCGCAGACAAAACCACACTGTTGACCACGCGCCTCAAAGACACCAAGACGATCCAGCGCCAACTCCGCGACCTCGGCATCGACGCACAGGCGGACGCACAGGCGTCCTCAGAAGGACGCGACCTGGGAGCAGACCGAGCAGCACGCGGCACCGCCCGACGAGCGACCGCCGCTGCGTGGACAGCAGCGGGGCGCCGACTGGGGGCAGCACGAACCAAGCTCAAGAGACCCCACGCCACGACAAAGGCCAGGCTAGTGCAGCAGGGAGCGACGGCATCCATAAAGCATGACACCACACTCCACAGCCTGGCGCCCATAGCACTGCGAGCGACACGACGACGGTACGCACAAGCACTCCGACGACCTTGGCCAGGACGCTGCCTGACTACCTTCCTCGACTTGGAGGGAACGGACCCAGCCTGCACCATTGCGAAGACGCAGCTCTCCAACTGGTTCAGCTGCTGGGCCCGCAGCCCCGCCCTTCGAGCACAATTGAGACGCGCGTGGCCCAAGATCTACTTCAGGATGCTCTGGGTACCTGCACCGCGACGATGGACGCAACGCGGAGGACCCATCGCAGCCATCATCGTGGCATTGTGGGAGCTCGGCCGGGACCCCAGAGGCCCCGACCACTGGGTCGACAGCGAAGGCTGCGACTGGAATATCCCGCAAGAAAGCAAGATAGGCGACCCAACGGACATCCTCGACGCCATCTTGAACGACGTCCGCGCGAAGCTCTGGACAGCCGTAGCCAGCCAATGCCACGGAAGGGGGCCTGGAACAGCACGGAGCAGACACGACAGATCTTCGACCGCACCTACAATGGCCCAGAGACCACGGCAAACGCCGCGAGTACGGGGGGGTCCTTACTGCGACATGCGCAGGAACATGGACGCGAACACGACAGCAGTCCACCTTCGGCCACGGGAGCAACCTCTGCGAGCGCGGCCAGATCAACATCGACTACCACCGCATCTGGGGCGAGTGCAGCTGCCGCAGCCACAACCCCGCCTACGCCAAGTCCGACCGACTACGGACACAGGCCGAATCAGGTCACCACACCACGCCAGCCTTCGTGGGCACGTGGCATCACACCGCATGCTTGGTCGGCACCGCCAGAATGCACCACCGAAAAGGAGACCAGCAGCATCGGCGAGATGATCCACGCAGACAAGATCAGCACATCAGACGGGTCGCCCCCGGTCATCTACGGAGACGGATGGGGAGGCGCGCGCAGCGCGGACTGGCGGTGCTGCAGATGTGGCTGGGCTTGGGCGCGGCTATCAGGCTCCGACAACGACGGCTTCAACATTGCAGCAGCGCGCTTCGGCCCCCTACCGCGCAGACGACAGACAAGCAACCGAGCAGAACTATGGGCCCTCCTAGACTGCCTACGCCACACCACCGGACCACTACACTACTGGGCGGACAGCGAACTCGCGTACAGGGGATGGCGCGACAGGCGGCGTCGGAACAAAACCACAGCCAACACCAACGACGACCTTTGGGAACCCTCCAGGGACGAGCTCAACCGCCGCAACGACCAGGGGCCATCGCACATAGCTGTCCACCCCATGAACAGCCACCTCACTTGGGAGGAAGCACAAGCACGAGGGTTTCCCATCCACGCGTGGTACGGCAACAGCCAGGTGGACTAGCTCGCAGAGAAAGCATTCCACGAACACGACATCGGCGACGCCCAAATGTCATGCTACGACTGGGGTAACGCCACGGCAGGACTTGCACGACGCCGCATCGCCGCCGGCACAGTCGACGCCATAGACCGACGCCCAACAGGGGACCACGGAGTGCGAGCAGCACGAAGAGCCCAGTGAAAGCAACGACGGGCACAGCAAAGACGGCGACGGGACTACTTTGCCGACGGGCCACCACAGCCTAACGGACGACGCCCACTCGCCACCCACGACCTGGCGAGGCCACGACGTGGGAAAGGATATGGAAGTGTTGCACGCAACGAGTTGGACGTGACACCCGCTTCGAAAGTGTGCAGACTTGGTTCCAACAGGGCTGCGCTGGACCACCACCGAGCCAAGGGCACTCCATCACACAGCACGGCCACACTGCACACCACAGTCACCCACTCATCCACATACGTGCAGAGAAACGCTGGGTCTACAGACAATGTGGTGCCACTACAACGGAGTACATCTCAGGAAAGATGCGCACATAATGCAAAGGACGCCCTGGGTACAACAGCCTCATATACAAGCTGCAACGTTGGCCTGACATCGCAGCGCGTGAGTCCAGCACCCACAACCAACCCGACGGCAGCGACGGACACAGCACAGACATGCCCAGCGACGACGCCCAGCCAGAGACACACAGAAGGACAGCAACCAGTACAGCAGCGTGGCGACATTGAGCACCAGCAGCACGACGTTGCGTCCAGCACCAGCGCCAGCAGCAGCACCGCACATCGGCGTTGAGGGGGAGGACGATCACTCCCTGCGTCCACATGCGGGGGCAGTTGGGAAGTCAGCGAGGAGATGCAGTTGAAGGCCCTCACCCGCGGAACCTGACTGCCCCAACCCAGCAAGACGAGTCGCGCAGCCGACGCAGTGCCGTCGCGGAGAGGGGCGACACCCCAGTTCATCTCCAGCAGCACCACCTCCAGCCTCAGCGACAGCTGAGGAAAGCGCCGAGGAGAGGAGAAGGAGATGGGCGCAGCGACTCCTCAGCGCGGCGACCGGCCAGCAGCGCAACGGAGAGCAGCAGCACGACGACGACCAGCACGACGCGCAGCACCCACGGCAGCAACGCCCACCGTGACCAGCACGTTGACAGCTGCACCACTGTGACCAGCACGACGAGCAGTGTGACTGGGCTTCGCGATGCAGCAACTGCCACCTTCCCTGGAAGGCATGTCGTGCAGGGTGCCCAGCACTCACGTGCTGGGGGCGCTGCGCGGGGTGCTGAGGATCTCGGGGGGCGCAGAGGGCGCGCCCGGCCCCGAGACTCCACGCGCCTCCGCAAGACGCGCGCGGAGAGGTGGGTGGCCCCCAGGGGCGCGGTTCACCCGGGCCGAGCCGCGGCCCGCGCGGGGCGGACTGCTCCAACCCAGCATGACGACGCTGTTGCGGGGTGCAGTGCCGTCCGCGGGCTGGGACGAGACTCCAACGCCACCGCCAGCCCCAGCGACAGCAGCGAAGAGCGACGAGGAGAGAAGGAGGAAATGGGTGCTACGACTCCTCGGCGCGGCTACAAGCCAGCAGCGCAACGGAGAGCAGCAGCGCAACATCGACCAGCAAGACGCGCAGCGCTCACGGAAGCAGCGCCACCGTGACCAGCACGTCGACAGCAGCGCTACTGTGACCGGCGCGACGCGCAGTGGGACTGGACTGGACGATGCAGCTACTGCCACCTTCCCTGGAAGGCATGTCGCGCAAGGTGCCCAGCACACGCGTGCTGGGGGCGCTGCACGGGGTGCTGAGGATCTCGGGGGTGGACCGTGTCCCACGCAGAGGGCGCGCTCGGCCCCGAGACTCCACGCGCCTCCGCAAGACGCGCGTGGAGAGGTGGGCGGCCCCCAGGGGCGCGGCCCGCCCGAGCCGCGGCCCGTGCGCGGTCCGCGCGGGGCGGCCGCCGCGGGCGATGCCCGGTGGATAGACAGCCATCGCGGCTGGGGGGGAACTCTTCGGGAACTCCTCCTCCTCCTCCTCCTCCTCCTCCTCCTCCTCCTCCTCCTCTCCTCCTCCTCCTCCTCCTCCTCCTCCTCCTCCTCCTCCTCTCCTCCTCCTCCTCCTCCTCCTCCTCCTCCTCCTCTCCTCCTCCTCCTCCTCCTCCTCCTCCTCCTCCTCCTCCTGTGCGCCGCTGCCGCCGCCCATCGGCAGAGGCCCGCAGGGAAGGCGCGGCCGCCTTCGCTTCTGCCCCCTTTGCCCCTGGAGGGCCCGCGCCGGGGGAGGCCCCCCGGCAGCCCCAGGGTCGCCATCGAGCCGGGGGGGGGGCGTCCGGCACGGCGGCGGCATGCTGCTTGAGAGGGGGCTCTCCAGGTGCCTCTGAGGCTCCCAGTGGGGGCGCCCCCACATCCACAGGGGAGGGGGCGGGCGAGGATGGACGGGAGGATGGTGGGCGTCAGGCGTCAGGCGATCGCAAACATGGACCAAGGGGACGTGGATTAGCGACGGGTCCCGTTTCCATGGGAAACCGTGGATTTCCGCTGCCGAGAAGGGCGGCACCAACCACATTTTGGGGAGGGTACCTCCCCCGATCCATGGATTTGGCGACCGCGCGCCAAATCCATGGATCGCTAATCCATGTTTGCGCGCCCCCGAGGTGGAAGGAGTGGGAGAGGTGCTGGGTGGATTGGTTGGGAGACTGGGAGAGGGACAGGGTCGGGGGAGGCGGGGGTTGGGTGGATGGGGGAGGCGGAAGCAGGCGGGAGGGGGAAGAGAAGAAGCGGTTGCAGCAAGAGCCTCTCAGGGAAGATGCGGGCTGCCCGAGGTCCTCGCGTTCGAGAAGTCGCTCGACACTGTCGACGGGATGGACGTACCCGGCATGGTCGCGGCTGGCATGGAGACAGCGGGGGGAATTTGCAATTCAGCGCGAAACGGGGGAGGCCGAGGAGACGTTGCAGGAGGAGGCCGAAGAGGCGGTCAAATGAGGAGGACGCGGAGGACGAGGAAGACACGTTGCGAGCGGAGGTGAAGAGTAATGGAATTTGGTGGTAGAAGACCCTGGACGCGGAAGTGGCGAAGTCAGAGGCAGAGGAATTTACGGGATGGGTTCCATCATGACGTGTGGAGGCCGACGTGCCAAGAGTGATATGGGGAGTGGGAGGACGAGGACGACAACGAGGGGCATCATGAGGATGAGGATTTGCCTGATGAGGGGAGGAGGAAGGGGAAAAGGTCCAAATATCAGCATTCCATCGTACGCATGTCGCATCTTTCCCAGCCATCCTGTGGTTTTGGATCCTCGTTTCGAAGAGACAGCGCCCCACGTTCCTCTTTCCTCCTTCCTTCCTTCCTTCCTTCCTTCCTTCCTTCCTTCCTTCCTCCCTCCTCCCGCTCCTCCCATCCCTTTTACCCCTCACACGGTTCGTGGCCCCATAGGGAGCTCCACCGAAGGCCAAAGTGCTACCGCCCGCATGCGCCCCCCCCACCCAGTACAGCGTTTCGTGGCCCCGTAGGGAGCTTCATCGAAGATACCAATGCTACCGCCCGCATGCGTCCCCCCCACACAGTACAGCGCTTCGTAGCCCCATGAGGAGCTCCAGCGAAGGTAAAAGTGCTACCGCCCGCATGCGTCCTGCCCCCCACCCAGTACAGCGTTTCAGGCCCCACAGGGGGCTCCAGCGAAGGCCCCAGTGCTACCGCCCGCATATGCCCGCATGCGTCCCCCCACCCAGCACAGCGTTTTGTAGCCCCACCGGGAGCTCCACCGAAGGTCCCAGTGCTATCGCCCGCATGCGTCCCCCCCACCCAGTACAGTGTTTCCTTGGCCCCATAAGGAGCTGCACCGAAGATCCTAGTGCTACCGCCCGCATGCGTCCCCTCCACCCATGACAGCGTTTCGTGGCCCCGTAGAGAGCTCCACCGAAGGTCCCAGCGCTACCGACCGCGTGCGCACCCCCCCAGCCATTACAGTCTTTCAGGCCCCAAAGGGAGCTCCACCGAAGGCCCCAGTGCTACCGCCAGCAAATGCCCGCATGCGTCCTCACCACCCAGTGCAGTGTTTCCTTGGCCCCGTAAGGAGCTCCACCGAAGCTCCCAGTGCTATCGCCCGCATGCGTCGCCCTGCTCACTGTTTGGTGGAGGTGTCCGTGCCGTCGTTTGGCTCCGCCTCCTCCACCCCTGGCCCTTCTGAATAACTCTCCCCTCTCGTACCCCGAGGACGGTCTCCCTGTCGCCTGAGATTCCCTCAACATGCCTGATCTTGAAGCTTAGACATTTGCAACAGTTTCACGGACGGAGGGCGGGCTGTTTTCACATTGTGGTTCTGGCCTTAGCGACGCGCGCATTCGCTTGACAAGCTTGCAGCAGCTTCACGGATGAAGGGAGGGCCATGTTCAAATAGCGGTTCGTGCATTAGCGCCGCGCACATTCGTTTACAACATTCGCAGCAGTTTCACGGATTGAGGATTTGTGGTTTCCAATTTGTGATTTTCTTATTGCATACCTAGGCTCTGCCTAGAAGGGTTCTTACCTTGTGTGCTTAAAGGGCCGGGCACCGGGCCTCGCCCCAGGCGGTTCCCCCAGGATCCGCCCCGCGGTTCCCCCAGCTGCGCCCCCTTACCTTAGCTTTGCGTATCTCATCGTAGCTTAGCTTAGCTTAGTTTAGCTTCATCTTAGCTTCGCTTGGCTGCAGCTTAGCTTAGCTTAGCATATCATAGCATAGCCCAGCATAGCATAGCACAGCGCAGCATAGCATAGCATATCATAGCATAGCATAGCGCAGCATAGCACAGCATAGCATATCATAGCGCAGCATAGCATAGCATACCATAGTTTAGCATAACATAGCACAGCCTAGCGTAGCATAGCATAGCGCAGCATAGCGCAGCATAGCATAGTATAGCATAGCATAGCATAGTGTTGCATAGCACAGCATAGCATAGCATAGCATAGCAGCAAAGCAAAGGCAACGCAACAGCAGCAACAGCAAAGCAAAGCACAAGCAACGCAAAGCAAAGCAAAGCTAATCAAAAGCATTATAGCCGGAGTGCAGTATCCCCAAACAAGGTTTTTAGACCCAATGCGGTTTCCAAGGTCGATTGCGTGCCCGTCCAGTACGGGCTGGCATGGCATGTTAAAACATGCCTCCTCCTCCTCCTCCTCCTCCTCCTCCTCCACCTCCTCTTCATCCCGAATGGCATCTCGGAGCCCAGAGTTGCGAGGATGTCTCCAGCGTAACGGGCTGGACCACCTCGCGCGCGGCATTTCGGACCCCAGAGTTGCGACGATGTCTCGGGCGAAACGTGCTGCGAGGAAGTCTCAGGCGAAACGGGCCGGACCACCTCGAGCGCGGCGTCTCAGAGCTCCGAGTTGCGGGGGCCTCCTGGGGCCTCCTGGGACCTTCTGGTGACCTCTGAAGCCTCTTGGGGCTCCCAAGGGGGGATATCTAACATGTGGCCGTCGGGGCCCCCCCAAATGGGGGGGGGGGCCACAAGAGCAGGAAAAATCAATGAATCGGCACCGGATTTGTATTAACTTGACACGTTCTGATAGGGGGCCTCCTGGGGCCTCCTGGGAGCCTCCTGGGAATCTCCTGCGGACCCCTGGGGCCTGTCCTGGGCGTCCTGCGGCCTCCTGAAGCTCTCTGGGGCCTCCTGGGGCTCCCAGGGTCCCAGGGGGGATATGTAACATATGGTCTTCTGGGCCCCCAGGCTGGACCACCTCTTGCGCGGCATCTGGGAGCTCAGAGTTGCGAGAATGTCTTGTGCGAAACAGGTCGGACCACCTTGCGCACGGCATCTCAGAGCTCAGAGTTGCGAAGACGTCTCAGGCGAGATGGGCCGGACCACCTCGCGCAGGGCATCTCGGAGCCCAGAGTTGCGAGGATGTCTCCAGCGTAACGGGCTGGACCACCTCGCGCGCGGCATTTCGGACCCCAGAGTTGCGACGATGTCTCGGGCGAAACGTGCTGCGAGGAATTCTCAGGCGAAACAGGCCGGACCACCTCGAGCGCGGCGTCTCGGAGCTCCGAGTTGCGGGGGCCTCCTGGGGCCTCCTGGGGCCTCCTGGTGACCTCCTGGGGCTTCCTCCTGGGCTTCCTGTGGCCTCCTGGCCCCCCCCCCCCAAAATGTGGGGGGGCCACAAGAGCAGGGAAAATCAACGAATCGGCACCGGATTTGTATTAACTTGACACGTTCTGCTGGGGCCTGTCCTGGGCGTCCTGCGGCTTCCTGAAGCTCTCTGGGGCCTCCTGGGGCTCCCAGGGTCCCAGGGGGGATATGTAACATGTGGTCGTCTGGGCCCCCAGGCTGGACCACCTCTTGCGCGGCATCTGGGAGCTCAGAGTTGCGAGAATGTCTTGTGCGAAACGGGCCGGACCAACTTGCGCACGGCATCTCAGAGCTCAGAGTTGCAAGGATGTCTCAGGCGAGACGGGCCGGTGTCTCGGGCGAAACGTGCTGCGAGGAAGTCTCAGGCGAAACGGGCCGGACCACCTCGAGCGCGGCGTCTCAGAGCTCCGAGTTGCGGGGGCCTCCTGGTGCCTCCTGGGGCCTCCTGGGGACCTCCTGGGGCTTCCTCCTGGGCCTCCTGTGGCCTCCTGAACTCCACCTGGGGTTTCCTGAAGCCTCTTGGGGCTCCCAGGGGGGATATCTAACCTGTGGCCGCTTGGGCCCCTCAAAATGGAAAGGGGGGGCACAAGAGCAGGAAAAATCAACGAATCGACACCGGATGTGTATTAACTTGACACGTTCTGATAGGGGCCTCCTGGGGCCTCCTGGGAGCCTCCTGGGAATCTCCTGCGGACCCCTGGGGCCTGTCCTGGGCGTCCTGCGGCCTCCTGGAGCTCTCTGGGGCCTCCTGGGGCTCCCAGGGTCCCAGGGAGGATATGTAACATATGGTCTTCTGGGCCCCCAGGCTGGACCACCTCTTGCGCGGCATCTGGGAGCTCGGAGTTGCGAGAATGTCTTGTGCGAAACAGGCCGGACCACCTTGCGCACGGCATCTCAGAGCTCAGAGTTGCGAGGATGTCTCAGGCGAGACGGGCCGGACCACCTCGCGCAGGGCATCTCAGAGCTCAGAAGTTCGAGGATGTCTCAGGCGGGCTCCCAGGGTCCCAGGGAGGATATGTAACATGTGGTCTTCTGGGCCCCCAGGCTGGACCACCTCTTGCGCGGCATCTGGGAGCTCAGAGTTGTGAAAATGTCTTGTGCGAAACAGGCCGGACCGCCTTGCGCACGGCATTTCAGAGCTCAGAGTTGCGAGGATGTCTCAGGCGAGACAGGCCGGACCACCTCGCGCAAGGCATCTCAGAGCTCAGAAGTTCGAGGATGTCTCAGGCGAAACGGGCCTGACCACCTCTCGCGCGGCATCTCCGAGGTTAGAGTTTTGAGGATGTCTCAGGTGAAACGGGCCGGACCACCTCGCGCAAGGCATCTCAGAGCTCAGAGTTGCGAGGATGTCTCAGGCGAAACGGCACGGACCACCTCTCGCACGGCACCTCGGGGCTCAGAGTTTCGAGGATGTCTCAAACGAAACGGCCAGGTCCACCTCTCGCGCGGCGTCCCGGAGCGCAACTTTCGGAGGATGCCTCAGGCGAAACTGCCAATCCCGGCCAACTCAGAAACGAGAGTTGTGAGGATGTCTCAAGCGAAACGGCCCAGACCATCAAATTTTTGTGAGGATGTCTCTGCTCCGACTTCCCTCGGCCAGAGTTAGCTTCTATCACAACAGCACCCCGATCAGCAAGCTGTTTGTGGGAAAAGCAAAAGCAAATCAACGGACAGGCAACGCAAAAGCAATGTGCGACAGTACGATTAGAGAGCCCACCCGGTGAGCGAATGCAAAAACATGCGTGTGTGTGCGAAGGCAAAGCAAAAGCAAAACCACGCAAAAGCAAAA